TCTGAGTAATCAACTGCCGGAATAAGCCTCGAAGCTCCAACGTCGGCGCAAAATCACCAAAATCATCCACCACACCATCACTCAACTTCTGCAAAACAGCACACCTTGTCCCTTACCATCAATCTCAATATGGCCATCTTCGTCCCTGCACAGCCTCTCACCCATCGAATAAAATGGCAGTAGGGCTTTGCTTAATACCTCCTTAAGCACCTTTCGGTCAAAAACAATTAGAGATGTTGTTGGCCTATAGAAACAAACATTGGTGTGTGGAAATTAGGCACCACCAAATCCACATTAGAGTTCCACAACCTCAGTTGCGGAGTCTCCGTCACCGGCTACACCATCATTGATTTTCCCATAGAGTTCTACAGCCTCAGTTGCGGCGTCTTAGTCACCGGCTACACCATTGTCGATTTTCCCACCTCGATCTTCATCATTGATCAATCAACTCTATTTCTGAAATGAAAAAAACACAAAAGTTTCTCTAAAATTACCGATCAAAATTACAAATTATTATTTTCAATTACCCGCTAATGTGATATGCTAGCAACTTTCATTGTTAAATATCCATTAGCATAATAAAATGAAATTAACTCAATAGAAAATGACTTACCTTGTGAGGAGAAGGAGAATGATATTGAAGTTGAGCTTTTTTGCCTCTAAGTTATGGCCTATGGGTGTTAACTGATAATAGGGTGTTTCAACTGAGAAAGGAGAGGAAGATTAGAGAAATGGATTTAGGGTTTTAATTTGGTATGAATTCGTGGGTCGGGTTCAGATTAAAAGAGAAATCAGGTCATTTTAATCAAAATTGGGTAATTTTAGTTGATTTGGGGCTTTCCATCCATTTGAGGGGTAATTTTGGTGAAATTAGTAACGGCGAGGGTAAATTTAACTTCATTTTAACGGCGAGGGTAAAGTCAAACAATAAACCAAAGTTGAAGGGTATTTTTGACCCTTTTCCCTAAAAAAAATAAGAGTAACACCAAGGGGTCCTATTAGATGCTAAAATATGGCTGTTTTGAAAATTTCCCTATTATATATTATTGCAAATGTTAAAATTAATTTAATGATAAATAGGTAACAACCATTTTGTAAATAGTAAAAACCGAAACGACGTAAATAAGCCCAAAATCACAAGTCAAATGGATCCACAAAACATCCTACGGAGACCGTGTCATTTTCGTAATTACATCATAAAAGAAGGGCTATTTATCCAATATGTCACTGGACTTCAAACTAAATTTGAATATGACTTAGGGTTAATTTCAGATCCGGAGATTCAGAGTTTCGAAAAAGCTTAAGGGCTGAATCTATGGTGGCTCGATTATACAAAGAGAACTGACAACCATACAAACCAAGTACAGTAATATCTACTGTTCATATCCAATATATGTTTCTTTGCTTATTAGGATAAGGAGAAAAATCTCATCATAAATCACACTTTTCAGCACTCTGCTTCACTATATACTTTCTGACATCAGGTAATTTTCTGAATCTTTACTGGAAAATTAAATTTAGAACTTTGATTTGTATGAAGTTAGTACAATTCTTTGATTTTTACATATAAAGCGGAATGAATTTATCCCTGAAATTGAGATGTAGTAGTTGTATTATATGATGCTAGACTTTTTTTGCTCTTTTTTGTTTTGGGTGTTTCCATTTTGTGTTATTGATTTGTTTGATCTCATGTTACTTGGCTGATGTCTTTTTCTTTTTGCTTGTTTTTTGTTACTGGATTATAGATCTGAAGAAACTGAAGGGTGAAGTGGTGATTGTGGATAGATTTTACATAGACGTGTATGTTGAAGAATAGTTTGGATTCAGTGATAGTGATTACCTGGTAACCTATTGGTTGAGTGAAAATTTAGGATCTACAGTCATTTTACAGCATTTCAAAGTGCCAGTATGAATCTTTGAACTCTGTTGTTTCTGGATAGTGAGTTATAGTGAAATTTGATTGAATCGGTTATTGGCTCAGTTGAAAATGATTGTTGTTCCTCGGCATCGGAATCAAAACTATGGGGGAAGTAGGGCACTAGGCCCTACTCGATTTGGGTCATTTGGTTCACCTCCCTTTGGTGGGTTCAGGGAGGTAAATTGTCGGGCTTTTGAGTCCAGAGCAAGTTCATATCAAACCCAATCCAAGTCTTGCAAGAAACCTGTCATCAAACGGGCCCTCTCGGGTTCCTTATCTCCCAAAACGCGACCACCTTTAACATCACTGCCTGTTAATACTGTCAAGTCTCATTCTGAAAATCAAAAGAAATCAGGAAAAACAGCCAGAAATTGCACGATTGCGATATCATTTAACCTCAAAGTGGATGTTGATTCTAGGAATGAGGATTTCTTGAATGATGAGTTACCATTTTCTGAACTATGGGCTGGGCCAGCATATTCGAATTCTCCTCCTCCTAGTTCTTTGCCCATGCCCAAGTTTTTTCTCAGGCCTAAAAGGAATGCCTCTCTTGAATTTCCTACTTCTGTATCTGATATTGATTTACGTCCCATTGCCAAGTCTGCACCAGCATCTCCAACCAGGGAGCGCAGCCTTTCTCCGGGAATTGTATATGATGGTACTGACTCAGTGACACAGACTCTTCGTCGCATGCTCAACCTTGAAATTAATGATGGATGAATGTGTGGTGGGAGGTCTGAATAGCAGCTAAATAGGGGATTATGTAGTTTTCGTATTGGGTAATAGTAGATAGTTCATTTGGTGAATAAATCAGTTTTTAGTTAGGAAGTTATCGTCTCGCTTAGTGTTTGTCATGGTGGATCAGTAGTGAAGTTTCAACACCTGTCAAGAGTGGTTATTTTAAGGGGAATTTTATATGAACAATGGCTGGTTGATCAACTCTCTCTGGGTATACTCAAAGTTCGTACATTTGTGTGCAGACATGGTTAGACTATGGAAGAAGAATCTGGGTGATGAGTGGAGTTCAATTGATGGAGTATGCTTGTGCATTGATCAGTGGAAGAAGAATCTGGGTGATGAGTGAGATGCTCCTATTACATTACAGTAATAGATAGATAGCTTGTAGTTCTTTGTAGAGGTTGCATAACTTGTTGCTCAACTATCTTTAATGCCCTGGAGATCAATTCGTTATAACCATCAATTCTCATTCTTGATTCCAGTGTCATAGGATCGTTCGTTCTTATTGCCTCTTCATGTTCCTTTAGATATTCTGTTAGTCGGAGATATTGTATATATCTTAGACCCTACCAGAATAGCATCCCTTTAGACTTCTGTTTTATTCAGTTACTAGACCTTAGCCTTTTCATCCAATCTTGCATCCTTACCTTCTCTATCTCTTGGTAGATTCAAATTCATGACTAGAAAATAGGATATTTGGTATATATAAGTCCTTGCTATTCCTTGAATGCCTGAATGGGCTGGTCATCATCATACCTTTGTATGTATTCTTGTCATTTTTTCTTCTTAACTCTGAATAGGATATATCTCCTACTTCTTCCTCTTGAAGTTGTTTCCCCTTAACCAATTTTCTGTTTTTTGGGAATGAAAATTGGGTAGGGGAATTAATAGTTACTTGTATCCTTTTCTGTTCCTGGTCTTCGGTATCTTCCCTTTTAGCTTTCCTCTTGCTAGTCCAATTATGTTTGTTAAGAGGTTTATTCCTTCGCCAAAAAAAAATCATCTTTCCTATGGAGATTGTTGATCACTAGCTATTGATAAGGTAAGACTTCAGTTTTTTTTTAATTATCTATTTTGATGTTGTCTATAACTTGGTATCTAGCTACAAGTGCTACAGTTTATGCTTATATTTGATTTTTTTTTTCTTTTCTGTGTAGTGCTTTTAGTTGGAGCTGTTGGAAGAAGATCGTTGAGCTAATTGTTCTCCCTACTCTCGCCATGGTAGCACTACTCGTTATGTGTCATTTCAGTGTCTTTATAAGATACATGTTGTCTGTAGGTCCTTCGACCAAACTGGTAGTTACTACTGCAGTAATTATCTAGTTATGTCATGTTTTAGGTTTTGGAGTTTTACTTGATTTTAAGGTAGCATTTTGATTAAGACTTCAATTGTGTTTCTCTGCTTCTGTTGTTTGTCTCGAAGTCTGGTGTTACTAATGGAGTACCTATTTTGGTATCAGATTTTTTTAATGTATCATATGCTGCCTGCTTATGTGTACTTGGTAAATGCGAAAGCATTTTCGGTATTGGAACAAAATGCAGGTCATATCTACTGATTTCTTTGCTAGTTTTTATCTCAAATCTCTAGTCATGATACATTTACCCAAGATGAGAGGAGTTCATTTCATCTATCTTTAACTAATAATGAATGTATGCACTTGTTCGATGTTAGCACATTATCATATACTGGATGCTGACAACGATAGCTAATATTTCTTTAATTTGTTTTTCTTACTATACGTTTTAATTCATATTTTTTAAAAAAAAATGTTTCTATCTCTTTTTGGTAATCTTTTTAGACCACATTACATACTAAAGACTACAAGATTAAAAAAACATTTGGTGCATTATAAATGTCTTTAATTTAAAATTACAAGATTTAAAGTTATGGAGTATTATTTCACTCTTCTTGAGTCCAAAATATGGTCCACGCTCCATCATGCAATACGCATTACAGAACTGATTTTGTCATACATGGAGCATTTTCTACCAACTAGTTTGTTTAATTGTGCACGTAATTTAGAAAGGACAACTATATATCACATGTGCTTGCATAATTGATTAATACAACAACCTGGTTGTCGAGTCTGTATTGTGATCAGAGCAGGTGATCGCTAAGCACATAATCATGTAACAATTGGAATAGAGGAATTATATCTTTCTTTTAAATTAGTAGTAATATATAAGAGGCTCTAAGCACATAACTGTTGAACCACATATTTGCTTGAGCATATATATAATAGTATTGGCAAGTTTTGGAGATTCCACATCTCGAGCTGAAAATAAATTGTTCGACTATACGAATCTGTAACTCATAAGTAGTTGTAATGTACCTGGCGTATTTAAAAAAAGGATTGATCATCCAACACGACTATAAATTAATTCAATCTTGATCAAGTCTCTTTAATACAGTACATCTCAAAATTGAACAAAGTACATCAAAGCCTCTGCCTTAGCGTAGTGAATTACAAAGTTTACATCAAATTAACAAAGTAAATAATAATAAAAAAAACTAGTAACGTAACCAAATTGTGCCAAACTCCAAAACACACTGCAAACAAAAGTGGATCTCAGATGGTGGTGAATGATGCTGCAACTACAAGGGTAAACAAGAGAAAGTATGGCAGCTTTATGGTGTATCCTGTATTTCCACTTGGTTCACCCTTAGATCCACCTGCACAAACAAAAAAAAGAGGTTATTTTTTTTGAATTATTATAAAGAAGAGGTTTTGTTCTTATTATTATACGATTTTTTAAAATATAATTTATTTAGATTCGTACCTGAAGAAGATCCTGGAGAACCAGACGGAGTAGTAGCTGAAATATTTACATATTGACAGAGAAAACAAGTCAAAAAATGGCTTTCGTGGTACCAAATAGGCATGATGATGAACTTAACTTACCTTTACAGAGACTAACAGAGGGTGTCTGAACATTACAAGCTTTGGGAAGAGCCATAGCCTGTGTTTGATTGACATTAATTCCTAAAGAAGAAGAAGCACCACCATTAATCATTTGACACAAACATTGTGGCTCATTTTTCAATATAGTGGCTAGTTGAGTGCAACATCCTGATGATGGTTTTGTAGCATTCCCTTGTATATAATCCAAACAAGGTGCTAATCCAACAATCACTTGTTGACAATTATCTGATTGACCACTAACTTGTATTGAAAAAATAGCCATAGCCACAAAAATTGCACAAGCAAACATCTTCATTTTCTTGGAACTTACTTAATTTCTTCTCAAAATCTTACTTTTTGGGTGGTGATCGATGAGTATTCAGTAGTAGGATGGAAATAACAAGACAAGTGTTTATAAAGGGGAAAATAGTGCAATAAATTGAAAAAAGAGAGATGGAATTATGTGTGGGTGACCCAACCTTGCCTACCTTCATAACAAATCCATGTGTAAGCATTTATCAGTTTTTCCTCCCTACATTCTACTTTATTATTTACTCCCACTCCGTTTTTGTCGGTTGAATTTTACTTTTCAGTATTGTATTTAATTTAATATTTTATTTGTTGAAGATTCTTGGATAGTTCAAAATTAACATAGACAAACACCACTCTATAGCTTCAAAAAGTAGTTAGCTGTCATATTTTAGAAAAGGTTATCTTTTCTTCCAGCAAAGATACGACTACTGTATTATGTATTCCTAGCTTAAACAAGGAGATTTAACTAACCTATATATACCATTATTGGTGATGCTCTCTTTTTAAATTTATTTAGAAAATAATTGTTCTCAAACACTAGAAATTAAAAAAAAATGGTTTTTTAATTACTATCGATATAATTGAACTCTTTAAAGCATATGGAGAAAAGTATAAATAAAGGATATTATAAATTGTTACAGCAAAATTAAGGTGGCTACCGGTTTAGTCAAACTCGATTGGTCGGCAACTTCAGTAGTAGCTGGGAGAACCAACTAATAATGACTTGTGGCCGCCCTTTTTTATCAACCCAAAGGTCTATTTTTCACATTCTAGATCTATTCACAAATCTAAACAATTTTGTTTTGATTTGTTTTGTGTTGCTATTTAATTTTGTATCTTAACATAAAATATAGTACGAGTTTTTTTTTTCTCCTAAAAAAGTTGGATAGATTCGATCTATAGTTAGAAATTCAGATGCGAAATTATAGTATTACATATGGGTTCAGACAATTTAATAGTTTTTTTCCCATTTATTATTTGTAGTGGAAAATTTATTAATGCAAATTCAATAACTAGATTGAGCTATGGATTCGAAAAAATTCAGACTTCATAACTCTTGGTTATTTGACTATAGTTATTAGGATATCTTAAAATGATCTATTAAATTAATATGATCAGAATATGAGCCAATTATTAATTAATGGAATTTCTTGTCTACTCTATATGTGTAAAGTACTCATTTGGCCAAGAACTTTCATTACATCATCTCAAAACATTATGTATATCATGCACATGCTCAAAACTTATAGTTTCAGAGAGTTAAGTTGTAGGTGAGGGTTTAGGCTACTCCTTAACAGTTCTAACCTAATCAGTGTATAAATGTTGAACTTTTATGTGTTAGGTATTTATTTATAGGTATAGATAAATTACTCTTTATTAAGAAATTTAATTTTGTTACTTACAAAAAATAAATTAGAACTAGTTACCAACTTTTGTTACTTTACTTCATAGCTAATAAAATTCGTCGTTAGACCTAAACAAAAGTATATAATTTGTCCGTCGCTAAATTCAATATTTTTTTAAAGTAGTTATGTAATATATTCAGTTAAATAGTTTATGAAGCCACATTTCGCCAAGAAGATAAAAGATAAAGAAATTAAAGAACCCTCATGAGAATTACTCAAAATTAAATAAGTGACAATAAATAATATAGGTAAATTACAACCAGTATGACACTCCTACTAAAACAGAGGAACCAAAAGAATAATAACAACAGTAATTTTAATACAACATTGACATAAAAATGACTTTTTTCTCCAAAAAACTTCAGAATACCCTGGTGGTCAAAGCAACAAACAGTAGGAACCCAACTAAAGTACTGATAGAAAATTTTGAGTTGCTTCCTGGAGATGATGATGATGATCCAGGTGTTGAAGGAACTGTTTTTGAACCTGTAGCACCTACATCAATGAAAACATTTGCGCGAATTTGACTTATGTATACTGACAATATTAAAATAATTTTTATACTATCAGGTCAAGTAAAAGATGATCATAGTACAAGAGATGATAAAATATTTTATTTGAAGTACCTGGAGTTGCTGGGATTTCATTAGAGGAATCAGATGGGGTAGTTGAACCTGCAGGAGAACTTGCTGGTACTTCAGCTGAACCTGTTGGTCCATTTGCAGCTATATTTTTTTATGCACAAAACAATCAGTTAGCTAGTTCATTAAACATGCAAATATATGTTGTAAGAGTTTATTTATTTAATCATTATAACTTATAAGTATTCATGACGTAAAGAATTTCTATAACTATGCCAATGTGGAGGCGAAGCTAAGATTTGAACTATCTGAGTTCTAAATTTTAGGATAGTAACGTCAAGTGTTAGTATATTTAAAGTTATTATTTCTTACGTTATTTGTAATTATCTTTTACATGATCTAATAATATTAAAATTTCTTCTACATTGTGAGTCGTGTTATATGTTTATTATTGCAATATTTCATTAGATCAGCCAAAATATATTTGGATAAACAATAACGTTGTAGAGAGGATTGACAATAGAATGAAAAATTATGTTACCATTGCACCGGCTGGCAGGAGGAGTTTGTAAATTGCATGCACTAGGTAATCCTAGAGCAAGAGTTTGATTAATAGCAATACCAAGATTAGAACCACCACCATTAACCAACACACAAAGGCATTGGGGATTGGATTGGACAACACTAGATAGTGATGTGCAACAAGATGAAGATGGTGTTGATGAATTTCCACTAACATAATTCAAACAAGGTGATAATCCTACAAGTGTAGTCATACAACTTGATTGAGCTAAAGCTCCATTCCAATTAATGGCCACAATTAGAACCATGACTAGAGCCATCACATTGATTTTGGATGCCATTTTTCTTAATTTGAGGCTAAAAGAAAAAGAAAAAGAAAATTATTGGTTGATTGTATGTTTTGTTGTTGTTTTGAATGAAGAGGAAGAACAGGGTATTGAGGTTTATATACCAAAGTTTTTAGCACAAAAGAACAAGAAAATATAGGTATTTTTGTTGGCCAACTTTTAAACTAATGAATGGTTAGCTAATAGTAATAGATCTACTTTATGATGAGGACTTATATTCTATTATTCTAATTGACAACTGTTTACCTAATTAGGTGATCTTCCATTTGTAGTATTATTTGTTTGAAAAGATTTTAATTTTCTTCCAATAAAATGTAATTAAGTCTGTCTTTGTACGGACAAGTTTGTCAACAAATGTTTATTGTTACGTGTACGAGCACATTAAGGGTGACTTACTGCAACACGTTCTTGCCTTGCACCGTCAATAAGATAAACTCGTTAAAAATTACTTTCATTTGACCTCTAAAATGATATATTTTTTTTCATAGTCAAAATAAATGTTGGTGGAAGCTTAATTTAAAACTACAGATTTCAAAAAGTGATTTTAAATTTTGTAGAGAAACAAATTATACTAAGACGGATGCAGAAGACATATACCGCTGAACTCAATACTAAATTTATGTGTAATAATATTATCAAAATTTGCAACAAATACCGATAAGTATGAACCCATGCATATATAACGTCTTCTAATAAATCTTGACATGTAATCAATCACAAATACTAATTGATGATTGACTGGCCAACCAATACACATATTATTAATATTATTTGAGTGGTGAAGAAGATATCTTGAATATTAATTTAACAAAGAGAGTGTATGTAACGATCGAGTCTCATGAGAAGCAAGCATTAATTAAGACGGTTAATCAACCTTAATTTAAGCAAAACAAATAGATGGATGTGCTAGGAAAGAGGAAATCCACAAAACAATTCCACAGTTTAAGGTATAAATAGGGTAGGGCATGAAGATTACAATTAAGGAAACACTGTAAAATAACAAGTTAAAGAAATAAAAAAAGAAAAGAAAAAATGGAAGGTGAAAAGCTTGTAGCAGTGTTTCTGATGTGCATGGTTGTATTTACAGCTGTGTGTGAAGCGACAGAAGAAGAGTACAAGGATTGCTATCACACATGTCACGATGAATGCACAGCTAAACAAGGACAAGGTTATACCTTTTGTGAGATGAAGTGTGATGCAGACTGCTCCAAGAAGGATTTCGTTGGTAATTATTTATTTTTAATAGTCTTTAGGGAAATGTTGATTGCACAACCATCTAATTCTGTTTTTTATTGCAGCTCAATTCCCTAAATTCAAGGCTTAATGCATGAGGAGGACCAAATTAACTTACAAGAGCAGAAAATGCATAACAAGAATAAAGCAGTGGGATTAATTAATTAATTAATGTATTTCTTTTCCACTGCTCATTGTAATTTACAAAATTCAATAAAATCTTAATTTCAGTTGCACCTGCTTAATCTATTTTTTGAAAAGCAAGCAAATATTATAAAATATTAATGAGTACTCTGTTATTCCAACAACCAGAGTGCAGAAAAAGTATTATATTATACATAAGAGCTAGCTAATAAATTTTACATTATTAGATCACTACATATATAGTAACTTCACTTTTACATAAAGATTATATAAGAAAAACTTAACATCATCTAATTTATAACAAAAACTAGCTACTACATATTGTAACTGCACTTTATTAATAAATTTGAAAGTAAAGAGATCGATTAGCAAGGATATTCACATGCACAAAAAGGGCCATTAAAGCCAATTTGCTCAATGCATTGGCCACCAGCAGAGGGTCCAAATTTGTTATTGCAGAAAGGTAAACATTCCGGTTCAACTTTGCCTTCATCACACAATATTTCTGGGTGTATTTGGTAGCATGTTTGTCCTAATATTTCTGATGGGATCATCATTCCAACTGCATTTAAAATCATATATAATCAATATCATGCACTTTTTATTAATTGATTTTTCTCTCTAAGCCACAACGACATGTTTAATGTTTTAACAATTAATTAAGAAGCATCACTTGAAATAGGAAAAAAATAATAATTCTTTTTTCCTAATCAGGTTAACAAACTCTCGATTAATTAGCTCAACATGGAAAGAACAAGTTCAAAGTCACAATCAATTCCTTTTTCTATAGTTCATAGGTAAAGACCAACATGGGTTGTGGTACAGTGGTGAGACTGTTTCACCGTTAACTAGATCAGATTTCGAGTTCAAGCCTCGAATATGAAAAAAATCTTGTTGGGAGTACCACACCCGAAAGGGCTCTAGCGATACAAATTTAGTCGGGGCTCCAATGTGGCCCCGAACACCGAGTAGACAAAAAAGAAAAGAAAGAGTGAACTGTAAGATTAATTATGGATCTATCAAGACAACAATAGAAAGCTACGAGTCTTAGATTTTGATGTAGCTTTCCAAAAAATTGGTTCTGAAGAAAGAAAGAAAAATTAAACAGGGTTTTGCACACAAAAGGACTAAACATGAATAAAAGGGATCGATCGAAGAAGACCTTCTCCTTTCATCTAACTTAATTAATCGTCTAGTACAATTAAAGATGGATTATAAACGTACGAGAAATTATCTATTTATATATGTGTAGGCGGTAGCTAGAAAGTTCAAATTAAAATCAACAATACAATATAATGAAAAAACATGTTGTGTGTGTAGTTAATTAGTATTACCTAGAAAAACAGCAGCAACGAGAAGGGAGCAAGTAGAAATATTTGCCATATGTTTCTTTCTGAAAACAAAAAACAGTTTTAAGAGCTTGTTTATGTTTTTTGGTCACACCAAATATATAATTTGGATGAGTTCTTTGTCATTATTATTATTATAAGTTGTGAAAGTAGATGATTACTCTTTTTGGCTATGACGATTAATTACCAGGAAAGTGGCCTTTTATTAATTGTCAACAACAAACTGTTTTTTTGGTCGAATAATGCAAATAAACAACTGTTTTACCACTTATGACAGTGATTTATTTGATATTTGCCGACGTATTCTATTTTATTTAATCATTTAGAAAATAAACAGCTGTGTTAACACTAATGGCCGCAGTTTGATTTTTTTTTTTTCGCGACATTGACCCCATTCACGTAATAACGTGGCAGCAGAAATTTGAGTCTAGTCACAAATTATTTGGTCAGCTACAAACTTTTTTATTATTATTTTTTATCAATGTCAGTCATAAACTAATTCTTTTCTTTTGTATCTTTCCATCTCAAATTATTTATCGTAATTTCTAGAGTAATTATTTCAAATAATTTTACATGGACTAATTCTCTTCTTATTAGTGAAAAGACGCATGAGAGATGTTTGAAGGCTGCGTAGGTTAAAAAGGTGTATAAAATTACCAAAGAAGTTGGTTTAGTAGGAGGAGGGGGGGGGGGATAATAAGATCTTAATTTAGTTAAGGTGTGTCTCTGACATTTCAGTCATAGTCAAGGGGTACTTGTGCTGTTGTGCCTTATCCCTATGATATGTGTGTTTGCCTATGCTAAAAAATTTAAAATCATATACTTACTCAGCTGCATTTTTTTATGAATATAAGTTGAGGTATTAAATAATGAAGTACATGGAGATATGTTTGTAACTAAGTAATTATAATTATAACAAATTGAAGTGAGAAAAAGAAGAAGGAGATTTATGATCATAATGAAAATCCTACATTTTGATTTTATGAAACTTTCAGAAAAGAAGAAACACATTTTAATTCATTCATTCAAAATTTTACTTAATTTGCTCATTTACTTAAAAAGATGTTACTACGTACTAAACCTTTTATAGAATATTAGTCATGCAAAACTTCTAACTAAATAAATTAGTACTTACTAAGCTACTATGATCCATAAATTACTTGGGATTTAACATTATCTAAATATATAAAGGTGTTTGATTTTGAAATATACAGGGGTTATCCACAATTGAATCATGATACGTACATAGACGTTTAGAGTAATATACTATCAAAATTTATTAATAAAGTAAAAATATAAACTCCTTTTTATTTGTATATAGAATAATTATATTAACAACTGATATTCACCATAAAAAAAAAAAACCATGGGCAATTATAAATTGTTCGCGAAGTAGATCTCATTTGTCCAAATGTATAAATACGAAAAAATAAACACTATGGCCAATTTTAAGTAGAAGCGTGTTATACTGTTATAACTATATATTATTAAATTAAAGTAAAATTGCAGGCTTATTAATAATTGAGAAATTCAATTCCGAATAACATGAACTTTATAAAATATTTAAATAATTATTTTCAAAATCTCAATTCAATTTAAAAAATCTTTTAAAATTATTTTTTAGCATAACCCGCACACATACGTAACTAAATATTTATTCCCATAAGATATTTACACGAAATTAAACCCACTCAATTTCTTATGTTTGTAATTGATAATTTCTTCATTGTTTAGATATATTTTTATGTCATATTCCAATAATTTGATATAGTGAAAAATATACATTAATAACTATATGTAAAATACATGTGCAAAAATAAATAAATATATTATTTTTGAAAATTTTCATATTTATTTGAAAATTATCAAAATGTTTTTTAAGGGTGAATTAGTAAAATTAATATGTTTCGTTATTTTACTTATATAACGTCAAATTAAAAAAACGTCTTTTTAAAATATATTTGACGAGATTTCTCATTAATCAATCACATAAATTTTAATAAGATGAAATGGACGAGTCAATAATCAATCAAATTTGGGTGAGTTGACTAGTTATGATTTCATGGGTTAATTTTGCGACCTCTAATAAATGATTAGTATTTAGAGAATCAAATATTTTAAATTAGGGAAAAATGATAAATATACCCCCAAACTATCGTAAATGGTATGCAGATACCTTCCGTCATATTTTTGGGACACTGGTGCCCCTGCCGTATAAAGATTATGAAAACGTGCAAGTGATAATTAGAAATTAATCAAAGTAAATAGTTTTATGTATAAAATAAATTTTAAAAAATATATATATAATGTCGGGTTGACTTTTTTTTTAGTTAAAACCAAACCAACCTAAGTATATAAGTCGGGTTTTCTTTTTCAATATCAAACCAAGTCAAACCATACCATTAGTCAGTTTTTTTCTTTCAATTTGACTCGATTCACGATTTGTTTTGATTTTTGATTCGGTTTTGTACACCGCTATCGAACACTATCACATAAATTGAAATGAAGTTAAATATAATTGAAATCTAATACTATTCTGTATTCATGGTTTGATTGAACACAGGTCTCTTGCATTCTGCCATGAGGAATGTCGTGCAGTTCAGATTGCTTTTGATGAAAATGTAATGAAGACGCGTTTGGAGGCATCAAAGAAAAAGATGGATAATTAATTGATCATAAGAAGCTGATGATGAACAAGGACTAATATATATTTATAAGTTAATTGTACTTTATGTACCATGTTTTATAGGCTTTATATCATAGTATCTAAAAAATAATTATCTTTTATAGTTAAATTAATGGGTTTGTCCAATATTATTAGTAGTGTTGTGTCTGTTTACAAGATGATATATACTAGAAGTCATCAATTGTATCACAATATTTGAATATCGTGGTATGAGAAATCTATGTTATTTACAGTTTGGCAAAATTTCTTTTTTTTCTTTCTTCCTATTAATGTCATTTAAATTCTTATTACCAGTATAATTTTTGTAAGATCAATTGAGTAGGTAAATTTAACATCTTTCGTTTAGGTTCAAATACACAAAAATCAAGGAAAAACTATTACTTAATAATCATACGATATGATCAATCTGTTGAGTACGAAGGGTTTACAAGGTGATACGGTGAAGGGTCATACTTCCTACATTGCGGATCTAGATTATGTTAGGCGATAAATTTTACATGTCAAATACTTGAAGGTGAGGTAGAGTTATCAATATGGATCATCCAGCCCATATGGATCTAGAATTTGAGGCTCACACTGGATTTGTCCATTATTTTGATATCACTATGTAATTAGTTGTGTATTATTCCAGGGCTAACCCACTTTAAAAAGAAAATTAAATTAATTAATTTAAAAATATAAATTTACTATAAAATATATACGTAGAATAACTAATAATTTATTAAATTTACGAAAATGTTTCAATTGGAGAAAAAATCCATTCAAAGTTATTGTGTGTAATCAGATACTACAATTGACCAGAACTGAAATCAGTCAATAATTCATGAAGTAAATATATATAAAACTTTCCATACATACATATATGGATAAATATTTATTGGCATAAGATATTTACATCATACAATTGACTAGAGCTGAAATTAGTCAATAATTCATGGAGTAAACATATAAATGAACTTACCATAACACACATACATTTATAGATAAATATTTATTTATTAGCATAAGATATTCACATCAAATTAATTCAACTTACTATATGTTAAGAAACTCTATCCCACATAATTTAGGTATGTACCTGATAATTTTTAACTGTGTTTCTATAGTTTATTCCTAACTACTAATTTGATGTAGTGAAAATAAGTATTAATTAACTATGAGTAGATAATTAATATAAGTAATGTATGTATAATAAGTACATATAAATCATCTACTAGTTTGGTGTAAATATCTTATACTTCACATGCTAAGTTTTTACCCACATTCTTTCTATAGAATAATTAATAAGTAATCAAATCTACATAATTCTTTCAATTTAGAAATATAATGAATGGCTATATAATCAGATATACATACTTGACAATTGACCAAAATTGAAGTTAGTCAACAGATTTTGTGGACTAAAAACAAAATGAGAAGACCAAACTTACCTTATAAATATTGGCATTTGTACAACCTTTGTTCTTCACTTCCAGCAGTACTAGTTGTAAAATCTTAAAAACTATAATGTCTAAACGTTCTCGAGTTAGCCGTGCTGATAGTTTCGACCAACCCAATCACCCTAACAAAAATTCCTCTACAAATAATCCAACCAAGTTTTCCAAGCCACCTTCTTCTAGTCTTGCTAATAATGTTGTCGCAGCTGCGGCTGTGGCAACAGACTCTTCTTCTGTTGGTGCAACGGAATATATCAGTGAGTTTCTCAAGGAGTGCTTCCTTTGCAAGTCCATCCTCAAGCTGAAAAATGACACCTACATGTATAAGTACGTTTTTTTTTTGTCAATTCATTTATATACATTTGATTGGATTGATTCATCACTCGTTTTGCTTGGATCTATATACTTTATGGAGAGCGGTGGATTCAGAATTTTAATCAAGCATATATATATACATATAGTACTATGTACTCCCATTTATCCCCTATGTGGTACTACTATTTTAAATCATTAACGATTATGAGTTATATAATTTTAAAACTCTTTTGGAATACACACAAAAACTTAAGTAGTTCAACATAACATCGAATATTATCACAAAAATTGAAATGGACGTAAAAATATAATCGAAGCCTAAGATTTTGTCAAACTCCTACACATCTGATCACTTGTCATTATTTCTTATTTTGTTTTATTTTAATATATTTGTTAAATTTTATGTTTTGATTGAACACAGTTCAAATCCATACTGCACAGAGGAATGTCGTCAAGTTCAGATGGATTTAGATGAAGAATTGGAGGAGAAGCAATTGAAAGAATCAGGGAAAAAGGTGGAGAAATAATTAATTACTAGCTCATGCTGAAGCAATATTGGCTGTAGGTTTTTGTGATAAGTTAATTGTACTTTATGTACCATTGGCTTATAGATAGGCTATATATCATATCATATCTAAAATTTTATATTTTCTAGCAAGTTGAAATGAATGGGTCCGTCTAGTATTATAAATATAATTAGTAGTTGCGTTTGTTTACAAAATCATACTATATGTC